TCTCGGATGAGAGGTGAAACGTCTTCAAGTAACTTAAAGAAGTCCAGACGCTTTTCTTTTCTTTGCAAGCTCCTTTGACTCCAACCTAAAGTAGTGCCATTCTTGCAGCAGCACTCCACCCTGTGTCTGTACCTGCCCCCACATATCCTCTGGATTCTGGGCATATCCAGACATTTCCCTGGCCTAAATTTAGTCCCAATATGTCTCCTATGGAACACGGGGTTATGCTGGGTTAATGTGTGACCACTGGCCAGTAATGGAGAGACATACGTCAACAGCAGATCAGGACAGAAGATCCATGCAAAGACTGGTGACTACTTGCACATCCACGAAGTAACCATATTAAATGTTGTATGTTCATATTTTAAAGTGTTGGTCTGTCAAATCAATTTAAAATACAAACTCGTATTTCCTTCTGTTTTTCTCTTTGGTTTCTTCTGTCTATAATCAACATCCATCAGCTGAATCACTCAGATCTTTTCAGAGGGCTTGTCTGCCATATCCTCCTAAGAAAGCTAACATAGACAGAGACTTTTGATCAAAGCTGAGATCATTAGGCTCCAAGAGTCCTCAAAAGAACAAAGTAGACAATATATAGAAAGAAATGTAATTTTTGATCTTCCAGAGTTGTTTCTTTATTTTTAAACCACATTTTTTAAAAAAACCTTTACCAGAATTTTCCTATAACATGACATTCTGCAAGATTAGTACACCCAAACACCTTTAAAATGTTTTGTTTCACACTGTCTAAGCACAAGGCAGCTTCCTTTTAATATGCCTGATAAATCTCTGTGTTCCTTATCAATAACACTGCAGTTCTTTTACAATTAAACACTGAGTTTAAAGGCTTTTCTGCTGACAATTGTTCTTGTTAAAGCATTGCATGCCTCATTATTTATTCTGCTGTAAAGTGGAAGTTATCGAGCTCTGAAAGCTGTAACTCACAGTTGGATCAGTTGGTCTGCAGATGAGCTTCCTCTATGCATTCAGCAGTCAGACTGAGTGAATCGTGTCCTCTGCAAACGCTCTTTGAGCTCTTTGTTTGCACTATCAGGTTAATCATTGTTTTCATGAACTATGACACATACTCAAACATGCTCTTTAATATCCTGTCATAAGTTCGCCTGTGCGCACACACACAAGGCAGAGCAGGAAAGACTTCCTCATTTTGTGGTTTCTGTTTCATGTTTGAAAATCCAAACTTACAAAGTGAAGTTCCACGTGAAAACAGAGCTGGCCATGTGATCAAAAGTCGTTATACTGTAGCTGCATCAGTGTCCGCTCTTCTGCTTTGAGACTTTCCAACGGATGCTAAGCCAGGCTGTGTGGGGATTTACTCCCATCCAGCGCCGGGATCAAACTGTAAACATTCCTTTATTGATTTTGTGTCCATGCACAAAAAA